CCCCCTGCTGACCCCTCCTCACCCATACCCGGGGGAAGGCTGGGCTTTTATTTCTCAGAGTGTCACCCCCACCTCCAACCTCCAGGCCCTCCCCCACTGCCCAGCGCAGCCTCAGGTCAAAACAGCCTGTCCTCTGCCAGCCCTCCCTGTCCCGCCCCACTCGGCCTGCCAGCTCTCTTTTCCTGCTTTTGTTTCCCAGGGAAGTCGGCTCAGGTGAGAGGCAGCCAGGCAGGGCTGGGGCAGCCACAGGGCAGAGCAGGGGCAGCTCCTGGCGGGCGTCCACCTGCGTCTCTGCAGGCTTTGTCCTGAGGGAGCTGCTTCTTCGTGGAACTGGACGTGCAGAGCAGGTGGCCAGAAAGGGAAAGTGAAGAGAAGCCAGCCTGAGAGCTTGGGAAGGACTAACCAGCTCCCACCCTGAGGCCAGGTCACCCGGCCTCCGCCTCCGGGAGAGTGAGCTTGGCCGCACCTGGCTGATGGGACGGGTGGAGAGGGTGGAATTCCGGAGCGTAGGATGGGTCGTGTTTTTTTAGGGACAGAGTCACACATCAGCCAGGGAGGTAGCTTTTGTGTTCAGAACAAGGCATTCTGCACCTGTGGGGGACCTTGGCGGGCTAAATCTTAATCCCTACAGGTGCTTGGAGGACACTGGGAAGTGCAGGAGGGTGAGGGGCAGAGCAGAAGGGGTGGGGCACTCATACACGGGGCAAATACAGACCATGTCCTGTAGGACTGGCTCCGGAGGAGGGGAGGGGAGGGCATCAGTGTGGGAGGGCCGCTGCTCCATTAGGGCCTTGGAGGTTCTTGTGCCAAGTACGAATTGCTGGCCCCCACCTCAGCCCGGGACAGCGGGGAGTCCCTGAGCGCCACCCTGGGGAGGTGCAGTGTCAGTAGAGCTGAGGGTTCCTCCTTTGCACCCTGCTAGGAGAACCACTACTCTGGGGGGAGGGAGGCAGGAAAAAGGGCTCTGGCCAGGACGGGGTGAGGGAGTCCTGCCAGCTGCATCCTCCCTGGACGGAGGTGATGGAGGCTGGGACAGTCAGTGGGAGGCAGCGCTGCAAGTGGAGGGGACAGGCCTGGCTGTGCTCAGAGGCCTGAGTGGAGAGGAGGACAGGGGAGGGTTTGAGATGCTCAGGGACAGTGCTGACATTAACCAAAACACAGGCTCAGGAGCCGGGAGGGCTGGGAGAGGAGAGGCCGGGCTCTGGAGAGGGTCAGGGGAGGGCGAGACCCGCCCAGTGTCTCCCTGGAGTGTTGCATAGTGATGATGCGGGGGGGTGGGAAGGGGGGGCCTGCTCCCCTCCGACAGCACAGTGCTGACACCTGGGGGGGCTCCCCTCTGACAGCACTGATGGCCAGAGGAGAGTTCCCTCTGCCCGGGGGCCGAGCCTCTTGGTGTGGAGGCTGCAGCTCACACACGCATCGCCATGGCTCCCCTACCTTCCCCGGGGCCCGTGGTGACGTTGGCTTCGATCTCCGGCCCGTAGGCGAAGGTCTTGGCTCTGATGCGGAACCTGTAGGTCATGCCCTCCGCCAAGTCCTTCACCTTCAGCCACAGTGGGCTGTTCCCCTTCACGTCCACCGTCACGATCTTGCTGACGCCTGTGGAGGACAGCACGTGGGTCTGCAGGGCTGGCGGGAGTGGGGCCTCCCGGGGCCCCCACACTCCGTCCAGGGGCCTCGCTCACCATTGCCCTAACCACGCCACACCCTGTTTGTCGGAACACGGTCCTGTGAGCTGTTCTGAGAAAGGACCCCGAGCTTAGCTAGGTCCACGGAAAGGACACGCCGTCTGCCTGTCTGCTGAGTAGCCGTAGGGGCGCAGCACCCGGAGGAACACACCATCTCGGTGGATGTAACCACTGCACCCCAAATAGACTGGCCCCTTTTCTGTCCCCGAGTGGCATCCCACAGAGCTGGAGTGCAGAGGGTCCCCTCAGCAAGTGCTCTGTAAATGGCCTAGCCCTGAGTTTGGGGACACTTGTGAGAGGGCGGACAGTCCAGCTCCAGCCCCCGCTCTGCCTCCTTCCTGCACCCGCCAGGCTTCTTGGTGCAGAGGGACAGTGCCTCAGCACCCCACATCCCACGGTTGCAAGGGAGGCTGGGCAGCTCTTGGGGTGCGAGGTCATGCTTTCCAGATCTGAGTGCTCTGAGAGCCAGCCTCCTCAGGGCCGGGACAGGGCGTCCATTTCTGGGTCCAGCCAGCACACCACCTCAGCTTTGCAGCCAAGGGCCAGGCTTGGACCCCAAGCACTAGCCCTGGTGCCTTCAGACGTGCCCCTTAACCCAGCTCAGTCTGTTCTTGTGCTGAGCACGCCGTAGGTGGGGTGTCCTGCGGTCTCGGAGCAGCAGTGGGGCACCAGGTGCAGGGCAGGGCCTGATCTGGTCACTGAGTGACAAGTCCTTGAGTGACAGTGTCGCTCAAGAGGGACTTCCAGAGTGAAACGACCCCTCAGGACCAGGGACCCCAGGGACCCCAGGGACCTGCTCCTTGACTTTCCCTTTACGTTCAGTTTATTTATTTCTCCCATAAATGAGAGCTAGGCGGGGAGAGTAACAGTGTGGTTCACTGTGGCTCCATGCCATGGGCCCCTTGGAGCAGGGGCGTGGGTGCCTGGTGTACGCAGGGGTGGGGGCAGGGGGCGTGGTCTCTGGGCTCGAACCTAGGACCCCCCCATGTGGGTCAACCTGGCAGAGCATCACATGTTACATGCGCCCCCATCGGGCCCCCTCTTTGACGTTTCTGAACAACCCCCCACGTGCCTGTGTGCCTGGTGCCCCTGCAGGATGGAGTTGGGGGGGTGGGTTCCTGCGAGCCTGGCTTGTGGCAACCTGAACCTAGGGCTCAAGGTGAACCAGGGCTGCAGGCCTGTGCCAGGCAAGCTGATGACGTCAGGCTCCTTTGTGAGCGGGGTCATTACAGGGGGACGGGCGTGTGAGGGTGCGTCAGCCGTGTAGTCAGGCCTCGTGGACGGGGGCCCATGGGGCCCAGTGCCCTCATCTCTCCGGGTGGGAGGTCCTGGGACAGGCCAAGCGGAGGCCACTGTGACAAGAACATGCCCTGCCCTGCCTTTGGCCTCTGTGACCTCTGTCCTTTGCCCCTTCCCAGGGCCCGCACCTCCTGGATCACCTCTGGGTGGCTCCTCTCGCTGTCCTTGCACAGCTCCACTTTAAAGAGCTAGTCGCTGGCACCAGGTGGTGGCAGGACTGAGGGCCATTGTTCCTGCTGCTGACCCAGAACTGCTGGCCGGTCATGGTGACGTTCCCAAGGTCCCGCCCCTTGTTCTTGCTAGGCTCTGTTGTTGGGGATGGGGAGAGGGAGGTGACCCCAGAGGCTGCCACAGTCCTAACCCCGGGAACTGGCCCCGGGCAGTGAGGAGCCCCTCCCCCTCTTGCTTCTTTCAGTCCCTGTCCTCCTAAGATGGCTGTGGGCTACAAAATGGTGACTCCGAGCTCAAGGAAGTCTGGGAATGGGCAGATCCCTGCTGGGGCCTGGGAGTGCAGTGGGGGAGTGAAGGAGGATCCTGAAGGCAGCTCAGCTCTGGGGCTCAGGGCACAAGGGAGATGTTTGCAGACAGGGCTCCTGGTCCGAGGTCCCCAGAGGGTGACCCCCAGTCTCGTGCATCTTCCTGGGGACAGGCTTCAAGGCTTTTGTCAATGTCTCAGAGGGGTTCTTAAGGCCCCCAAAGGTAGAGAACTAACTTAGAGTGAGGCCGAGAACCTAAAGCTTGAATGGGGGCAGGACAGGACCTTCAGGGACTGCCCCCTTCTTCGGGGTCCCAGTAGACACCTGCCTGTCTTAGGGTGCTATCTTTTGCTTAGACCCCCTTCCTCTCCTCCCCACATCTGTTGACCAAAGGCAAAGGACTGATGTGAAACTCTCTGCCGGGGGCTGGAGAGGGGGTCGCTCTTCCACCTTCAACCCACACCTGCTGCTGGTCTGTTGGGAGTACCTCTTCCCTTGCCTGGGCCTCAGTTTCCCTGTGTATGTAAGGGGGGGACACTCTCAGCACGTCTAGTGGATGTGGTGACCATGACAGGGACCTTAGCCAAAAGAAAGCCCCTGCCCACGGGGGTCTCGGGGCCGGCCAGGAAGTCCCCACTCACCGTCCACAGGGGTGCAGGGCTCATACACTAGCCGGTAGCCCTCCAGGACGCCGTTGGGGAACTGCGGGGCTTCCCAGGACACGTTCACCGAGGTGGTGGTCAGCTCGCTGAACTTGACCGAGCCGGGAGCGCTGGGGGCTGCGGAGATAGCAAACGGTTTTGTCTCCTCCCGCAGAAGGTCAGTGCCTTGGCTCCGGTTCCAAGGAGCCAGCAGGGGTGTTTGGGTCTGGGCCCGGACAGACGAAGCAAGCAGGGCTGCGCACTAAGAGGGAGGAGGGGTCGCTGGAGGTCATCGGGCCCGTCCCCTCTCCCCGGACGCTGTCATCCACTAGCTTCCCCGCGCCGGGGTCCAGGGGTTGGAAAATGCGGGCTTCTTCCTTCGGAGAGGAGCTGGGCCCTGGGCCACCATGGGGGCAAGGCCTTTTCTCTGTTTTGTGGGGTTCGCTTTGGCTTCCCTGGAGGAGAAGGTAGGGAGTGCCTGGGTCTCAGAACAGCAGTGGGCACTTAAGACGATGCCAGAGCTGCAGCTGCAGTTGGGACCTTTCTCTCATCCTGCCTCCGGGGCCTGTCACAGAGACACCAGGCTGTCAGCTGGAGTTAGTGCCAAGGACAGTCAAACCCTCCGGAAGATGTTTTCTTGGACTGAGAACTGGGAGTGACCCTGAAAACACGGGGTGGGGGGCTCTCTGTGGGGGAGGACTGAGAGGAAGGAGGAAGCACCGAGCTGTCTGGGTGGGACGCCAGGCTGTCATTGTCCAGCGCGGCCTCCCCATGGCGCTGGAGCTGATCCCCTGCTTCCGCTCCAGTGCGGGGAGGCTGCATCAACACAGTCTTGGAAGGAGGGAGGCGACTCAGGGGCTCTTTCCTGTTTCCCCTGAGCGAGAGGGACGTGGGACAGGACGCTTTGTCCTGCTGCCACTGTGTCAGAAGCTCCCAGGCTCCCAGGGCTCACATCTGGCCAGTGACGCACAGACCCTGGTCGGGACAGGCAGGCAGCAGGCGGAGAGGGACTGGCACGTTCAGATGCTCACGCTCCACCCAGCGTCGGCCAGACGGAAGCTTCCAGGGAGTCAGCGCCGGGAAGGGCTCCCCTGGAGCCAGGGCTTGTCCCCAAAGATCACGGGTCTGCTCTCCAGGCTCTTTAGGAGCCGACTGTAATCGAGTGGGAGCAGCAGGTGGGAGGAGAGCTTCAGGGAGGCCAGGGCGGAGGAACTGCACTAACCTAGACGGCAGAACCCGTGGGCCCTTAGAGATCCTGACCAGCCGGGAACCCTGGGCAAGAAGCACAATTCCAGGACGACCCATCCCCGCCCATGTCCAGGGCTCCTGGGAGTCAAGTGAGAATGACTGAGAAGAGCCTGGCACTCTCTCCAGGGCTGCCCTGCCCAGGGCAGCAGGATCCACACCATGGCCCTCTCTCTGCCCCACCCTCCACACTCCTGGCCTCCCGGCTGGCCTCTCAGCCTCCATCCTCTTCTATACAGAGCCTGAGCACTTCTCCCAAACAGCCCACACCCTAGTTCTCTGTGGCTTCAACCTTCCATAGCTCTGCGCTGCGCTCAGAATTAACCCCAGGCCCCACCCTCAGGCGCTCTGTAACCTGACGTGACAAGCCCCTGACTTCCTCTATTCCTCAGTCTCCGGGTCTCTGCACCGGCTGTCCCCTCTGTCCCGAGCTTCCATGCTGGCCTCTCCTGGCTCAGATCTCTGCTCAGGCATCCTCTGGGTAAACCTATCCAAGCCGCCCACCGCCCCGCCCCCACCGCACCACCTGCAGTTAACCAGGCTGTCTGCTTGTTAGGGTCTGAACACCTCACCAGGGTCGGTCCTGGCTGGACTTGCTCGCTGTGTGTTCCCAGCATCAGGCACAGCGTGGGCACACACAGGATGCTCGGTAAGTGTTTGTGGGATGAATAAAGCCAGGCAGGGAGGCAGGGACAGGAGTGGCTGGTGGGGTGTGGGCTTCCTGTGGCTTTCTCCAGGTGCTGTGGGGACGGTCCCTTCTTCCTGAGGCCCCCATTGTGG